TTCCGACAAAAGCGCTCATGCACTACGAACTTGTTAATTGCACGTAACAGCTGGATTGAAGCAATTGATGATGGAACAGGAATTCATGTCATTTACTTGGACTTCTTGAAAGCGTTTGATCGTTTAGACCACCGAATTCTCCTCCATAAACTTCAGCTCTGTGGCGTTGGTGACCCACTGCTGCGTTGGGTAGACACTTTCCTGCACCAACGTTGGTTGGAAGTGAGAGTACGAGAACCCCTGTCCGATGTAATTGTGGTGGAGTGCGACGTACCACAACGCTCGGGCCCCGTCTATTCTTGATTTTCATAAACGATCTGACGAGGGAAATTACTTCCGATTTCCTACTCTTCGAGGATATCAATTTATGGTGAGTGATCAAAGAACCGAACGATCACGAAAACCTCCAGCGTGACCTCAACACGATTTCAACTTGGTCAGTTCTGAATACACTAGCGTTCAATGTGGAAAAATGTCACGCTGTTCAATTGCGCCATAGACATGACTACGTGTATAGACTTATGTTACATGCATTGCAAACAATGTCCCAAGAACGCGACCTTGGTGTGCTCATTCAAAGTGACCGTAACTGTCCAAAGCAGAGGCAGCTGCGAAGAGACCCAACCAGCATGGCGGCTTGCTGCGGAGAGCATTCGAAAGATTCGACCCATCCATCTTCCCCATGATGCATAATTATTACGTGCGCCCTCACATTGATACTGATTTGAAGCAGCGAGGAGAGCATACTCTATGCAGCTGCATCAATTGTCGCTCTTGGACATTAACGTATTAATTATCTTTCCACTCTCTATATTTTGCCTCTGCAAAGTGTTTGTCTAGAAGCTTCTTAAATTCGGCCACTGAATTCGCCTCTATTATCGGCTGCGGCAGGTTGTTCCAGGTATTCACCACTCTACGTTCGAAACAGAGTTGGTGAGCTACCCGCTTCAACTGCGGTACGATAAGTTTGTACCGGTGTCCTCGCGTGCTGCTTGATGTGCGCAGATGAAGCAGTTGTCTAAACATGGGGGAATCACTCAGATGTAATATCCGGTGCGTCATGATTAGGTCAACCCTCAGCCGACGATATGCTAGGGTGTACAGCCCTAGTTTCTTACATCGGTCTTCATATGGCATACTTCGTAAGTTGGGAATCAGCCTAGTGGTTACATGCTGCACCCGCTCAAGCTTTTCTACCTCGCCCAGCGTGATGGGACAATATGCGGGAGAGCCGTATTCTAGCATTGGTCGTATTATCGAGACGAAGAGGCGAGTGGCAATCTCTTCGGACCAAGTGCTGAAGCTGCGCCTGAGCGCCCAAAGCATCCGAAGGCTGTTTTGGTACAGCCTATTCGTGTTGTCAATGGACTTTAGGTCGCAGCACAGCACGCTATTCAAATCTGGCAACCTTGGCTAAAGCGCGACTTAGAAGTACTAGAGAAACCCCAACGCAGGGTAGAAAAGAACGTCAAGGGCCTACGAAATCTGTCCTACCACCAAAGGCTGAAATCACTGGGAGTCTTCAGTGGCCGCTACCGAAGACTGCGCGGAGATCTCATATTAGTCTACCAAATATCGAGTGACTCTAATCACGTATGCCCCCACTTGCTGAAACTCAGCCATAGCACAAATCTCAGAGGTAACCCTCTGAAATCGTGTGCACAGTTTAGCCGCCTGGAATGCCGGCAGAATTAATTTTCTCGTCGGGTTTGCCAACCATGGAACTCTCCCCAAATTCGCTGTCTTCTCCCCCAACTTGGATATTTCCAAAAAACGATTGAGTCTTGCCCATGGTCCCAATCATCACATTGTCTAAACTGTGCAACTTTGGAATAAATTAATTATCCCTCCAAACCGGATTAGCATATCACATAAACCTGAAGATGCGGGACAGAAGTGAGTAGTATCCTTTTAACTTCTTACTTTTCTCACGGAGCACAACAACTATAACTGTCCCCATTTTGTCTCATCGTTCGCATTCAATTCCCACTTGCACTACTATTATTCAGCAGCGTATCTGCTAGATAAACGCTCAAACAAACAACTCACCTATCTTTCGATAATTGTGGGTTAACCCCCACCATTCTGCGGGACTTGTCAAGCAACTGCTTTTTTAGCCGGAATAAATCATTGTTCAAACTAATAACGAAGGATGAACTACCCTTTGACGTGCTCCGTGGCTCGTCGTTGTGGAGCCTCGAGCACTGCGAGGCCTTGCTTGTGCCAGAGCTGTCAGACTTGGATTGCGTATTCCTATAAATAAAAATTTTATTCTCGAATTCACTCGAGAGTTTGGATTCAGCCTCCCCCTTATCCTCAACACCTATGTGCAAACCCATTTCGAATAAGCTACTCAGGTCTAACAGCCCTGGTTAAAGCGTGACCCGCAGCGCAACGAAGGATTTGCGCCACTTTCCGTATCTAGAACAGTCAAAGAAATCCGGAGTGTTTAGTAGACGATACCGACGGCTAAGTGGACCCCGTAATAAAAATCAGATACAAAACGGTCCCAGCCACATGTCCCAAGACCTTTAGAAGCTCAATCCAAGCACCAATCTCAGAGGTAATCATTTAAAATTAAGTCGGCAGCATAGTCATCTAGAGCAGCATTCTCAACCTTTATTCAACCGTGGCCCCATTTCAAACATTTCCATTTCTCACGGCCCCCACTCTTGATCACCACAATTTCAGCAATCCACAACGCCAGACGTGAATCTGTGACTTCCAATGGTCATATTAGTGTTTTTGTTACGATAGCACCCCACGCGCGAAGAGTAGCCACTCGAATTCGGAACACTGCGGGCTAATGTAACCTAGCTGCTAGACGCACGCTGAGACTGGAGACGAAAAACGCGTAACCCAACGAGAAAGAGGCACTGGCCGGCACATGAGTGGTAGTGACTTGAGGAAAACAGTTATTGTCTATGTGGTTTTGCGCGGTAACTGCTGGTGTGCTGAGCAGAGTTCAATGTGGCTAGGCCTCAAACCCCTGGAAACGCCTCGGTTGTTACTTGTACAGTCTGAGTAGTCGTATGATGTTTGTATGTCTGAGGTGAGCTTGGCGAAACCCGCACAAGTTTCGCGGAACTATGCCAGCACTTCCATAACGTTAACGCCCACTTGTACGAGCGTAATTCATTTCACTGAACGATACTGACCAAAGGAAATAAGTGCGTGGATAAAAATTATCAGAAAATTTTTTAAATGAACTTTGTTATTCGTGTTATAACAACCCACTATTCACAGCATGGCTCCTTATATCCGCCTAAAGGTTTTCTCATCTCAGTGATCCCCCCTCCCCAAAATTATCTATGGCCCCTAGGTGGGGTCCTTTGGCTCCCGTTGAAAATGGCTGAGTTAAACTGTCGACAGAGTTCTCTTCTAAACCAACTTTTCTTCTATCTTCAACAAACGTTTCCATATCGCACTTAGCTTCCTGCATTTCGTTACATGAGGGTGGTATATGGAACGTATTCCAGTGACTTACTTAAATTGTTATCCACAATGATGCAAAGAAATCAGCGCAAGCGGGTGAGCTATCCGATCAATCCTAGATGGCGGTATTATGCGGGTGGAATCGAATGAGGTCCACTCCGGATCAGTGGTGTTCCAAAGTACTCAGTCCGTTGTTCCTGAAATTTTCAAAATCTTCATCAACGATTTTCCAGTTACATCAAATCGACTGCTTGATCTACACCGATGATCTCAGACGGTAGTGGGAGGCATCTGGGCTTGGAAATACCGGCAAAGTGCAAATGACGTTCGATTCGCTGCACTACTAGTCTCTTAAGTAGCAATTGCCTATCAACCGCCATAAATGTTGTTCTCCCTATCGGTTCCTCAGAACCTTGCAGGCGCCTACCACGTTGGTGGTTTCCTGCCAAAGCATGTGGCTTGTGAGAACGACCAGGGTGCAAGTGGATCCCCGGACCAGAGAACGATCCGGGACAAGTCGCAGAAAGTTGCTCTGATGCTCTGCGCCATACGAAGATCACCGCAAAATGATACCTGATATCTTTCGTTTCTTCCAATACTGAAATATAGATTACCTACTGTACACCTCACTAAGCTTGAGTATGGTTTGATCGAGAAGTTTCAGAGGCGTGCGTCAAAGTCCGTGGCGGTGCTGCGTAGGATAACTTATCTCCTCGACTTCAGCGGATGAACATTTACTCTCCAAACTACTGTCGTTACCCTGTGGATCTGATTCACGTTAGACTCATTCTGAGCGGATATTTGGTCAAGGAACTACAATTGTTCTCCCAGTTCAACGTATATTGCTCGACACATGGTCACAATTGAAAACTATTTAAAGTGAGGAAATTCAAACTCAGCCCTGATATGACGTTATCCACCTGGGTCGTGTATGAATGGGACAATTTCCCAGAAAGTGTTGTCTTTGCCCAAACAGGAATGGTTCAAACGACGGTCGGATAATCGCATGCTGAGCATGCCTGGATTCTGTCCTTTTTGCTGCAGCTATAACCACTGCTTAGGGAACAGTTCAGAAACGACACGTGTGATTCAGCCAATAAACAGGAAGTGATGGGGCTGACGTGAGTCTTCTGCTCTCTGTAAGTCTATTAAATCTGCAAAACGCGTTAGTTTTAATGACTTTTTACGCTATTTCGCATAGTGCTATGCTATTTCCATAACTGTGATTCGAATATGCCGTTATCGTGTCGCTTCACTGACGCAAATTTTATTTGTTCCCAATTTTGCAACCCGCCATAAACCGTTGTTCCATTGAGTGCACCAGCGTATCAGCCACTATCGAACACCAAACACGTGCTCAGGTACGTAACACGTTAAAGTCCGCGTAACTAAGCGTCTATTGCGCACCAAAGAGCAATGGTACACCCGTAGATGTGCCTAGTTTCTCCGAGGATAGTCTCGAACTTTGCCCGGTAGGGTAGTGTTGATTGTTATCGATGCTCTGCGCCTAAACAAGACGATTTGTGTTCCATGCGCGAAAAATGTAAGTCAGGAGGATCTCAAAATTCTTAGTATCAAACTATATTTTGGTCCATGTGTAATCTCACAACAAACGACCACTGTGATACCAGAAGGAATTGCTTGCGAAGTATTCCACCTATCCATCCACGATTGGACACGCCCACCTTCATCCGCAAAACGTTCATTAAATGCAGCAAATCTTATGTATACCAGGTACATGGAGACTATTACTAGTGTGCATGTGTGTCATGTGCAAAAAAGTGCTCCGTAAACACAAAGTTCAATTCCATTAGGCAAAGGCTTTTATGTTTCTATTTACAAGCAGGGCGTGGTCAAAGTCCTCCATGACCGCGAGGAAAATGAAGGTAAGCAAGCTTAGCTTGGATGTTCTGTAATGTGTTTCCCATCGGCGTAGAAACGATCCATTTGAAGCTGCATATCAGAAATGGACATTGATCCAAAACGATCAGGCTGCGACTGCATCAGACTGTGAATGCGAGCCATTTGCTTCGAACGGATGCGTTGCTCTTCCGCTCGTTCTTTGTCGCTTAATGACGCTTCGATGTTTTCACGCAGAACGCGTACTTCAGGTGTGGACGAAACAACGCGCAATGGTGAGTCCATACCTTCCTCGCTGTCGTGGCCGATCGGCAGATCTACAAAAAGTTAGTTTTTCTCAATCAAATCAAACGGAAGGACACCGTTTAAAATTAACAAGTTCGACAAATAGGAATACACTGGTCAATGCAGAGGCCTAATCAAAGAACATTAAGCCCATGTAGATGTTGCATTGACCATACATTTGCAATTCGTTGTCATCGACAACTTCGCTGTCGTAAAACCACAATGGCCTAATGAATGAAATATAATAATAGATGAAAAATGAGGACCTAAATGCCTTAAGAAAGCAGTCAGGGTCAACACGCCTCTACACCTTGTTGACAGTATAAAGATATCGTGCGAAGGTAAGACGGCATCAGCGGCACAGCCACCGTGTGGTTTTCAATGCCACGCATCATAATCAGCCATTGCCCCGCAGACAACAGCACTAGACACGAGGTAAACAGGGAATCCGACTAGGAGACGGCAGCAAACGTGCCAATGATACCGATTGGGAGCCATGTCAGTGATGCTTCTCGAGCAATGCACAAGGGAGGTCAAGTGAACTCCAGCCCGGAATACGAGGCGGACTAACATCATACAGTTTAATGGTCAATGACTTCATTTCCCGTCGTCGCGTCACAGACAGTCTGCCATAAACGTTTTCTTTAACTTGAAAGTCGCCTTTGATACAATTGGGCGCACCTATTTGTGGTGGGGTTTACTTTTGGAGTACTTCATGTACTTGGATGTACTTCATGCAGAAAATCACTTCATCGTGGACTTCTACCGGGTCGTGTGAGAGCCCACGTGGAGTTGTTCTCCGAATCGACCATGACAGCTAAGGCGAGTTGAAGACTACACGTCCGGGTGTGGGGATACATACTATGTGTTTGGACTGCCACACGTAATCACAACTAAAGTGATGTACTACTAATAAGGTAAACCTCGGTCGTTCTGATCACTTGGAATGGAAGACAGACTTAGAGTAATTGCGTGATCTAACTCGCTGGGAGTCAGACAGGCACATCTGGGTGCAATTTAATGGGAGTCCGTCGCAGCAAGTCTCAAGTTATGTAGCCAACCACGCATCCAGAAAAGCTGTAGACGGTCGTTTTGTCTTATTGGAGCCAGTCCTGTCCTCTATAACGTTCGTGACTTGTATGATAGTGGAAGTTGAGTAAAAATATATCACAGTTAACTTGCATGTTATAACGTCCCGCCTCTGTCCCCCATGATTCAGTGTCATAAACTGCCGGCTGGCAGTGCAAGCCACTGGTATTCATGAGTTCGAGTCAAGATGGAGCTGATGGACGCGTACTTCTGACGAGATCCAACAGGTGGAAACAGCGGTTGGGTTATATTTAAAAACAACGACGATAAAAATACGCATATTTCTCACAATTCTAGAAACTGCGTTTGTGGCGGCGTAGATCAATATGTACAAAAGCAACTAAGCTCGTGCATGCGCAGGAAAAGCGATTGAACCACTCAGCACCATCATATCACGCATCGGGCTCCGATGGGTTGGCCACGTGTTGAGCATGCCAGCACACTGACGCCCGCATCGTGCGTTATTTGTGCGACCGGGATCTGGATGGAGAAGAAGGAGGGAGGCCGAGCGATGACTTGGTCGAGGGGAATGAAAACCATCACTTGGAGTTTGGCGTCCGTCGGTGTCTCCCGACTGCCGGGCTGCGGAGCGAAGGACTATGAATACCTCTGGTTGGATATACTTGTGGGCAGGGCAAGAAGCCGACCGCAATGGCGCCTTTTTCCCCTCCCTCTTCCACTTAGCTCCCCTCTCCAAGCACGATGTTATACCTGATGCATAATACAATACTAGCATTATAGCACTGGCTTTTTCCATGCGGCCATTTACCTTCAAAAACTTTAAAATAACAAGAACGAACAACATTTGAGCGGAATAACCTGAATTCAGATTATTTCGTGTCTTCTCAAGCAACCGGTTAGAGAAAAGGGGAAGGATCAAAAGGATGAAAATGAAAATGAATCAATGAGACAATCAATAGTACACTGAGGAATTCAAGATCAACGCCTGTAATGGCGAGAAATACGCCCTACCAGAACAAGGCGAGGCTGGCCAAAGGCAAGCTGTTTTCAGAGGTTTAGCTTCAGCCTCTGGATGGCGGAAGCCACGGCAAATCTAAGCAGACTCGGGGAATAGTGTCTCTTAATCATCTTGAATGCCTTACGAGAGTCCTCGCATAAGCTGGTAGCTTACAGCCACTCATTTTTAACTTTCGTAGAACCTGTTACATGATTCTATTTGATAGCCTCCTCTCAGTTCGGCCAATGTACGTCCTACCACAAGTACAGGTAAATTGGTGAACGCAGGAGGCGGTAACCTGAGAGTCAGGCTTATCCAAGTTGGATTCATCGAGCAGTTTCTTGGTCTGATGTAACAGCACTATTTGTTTGTGAACGGCTAATTGTGAAGATCCGAACTAATCTGAATTCAGATTACCCCTCTCAAATGTTTTTCGTTCTTTCTCGTTTCTGTGTCTTTGTGGTCTGTAATGTTCAGTATGTTATCTATTTTATGTTGCAGCACATTGGCTGAAACGTGTTTCACCCTCAGCTAACGTTCATCGATGATGATGATGATGACGAGGATGATGATGACGACGACGATGATGATGATGGGTGATATGCACATGTGCAATAGTGGAGCATGATATTTATGTACTAGCGTTTTGGTAGATGGTTGAGGTGAATGCCAAGGTTTGGAAAGGTAGGGGCTCTGTTGGAACAACTCACCTAAGTATATTTCCCATGTAACTTGCGAGCTTGTTACCAAATAAGTGTGAATGCCTCAGGATAAGCATCATCCTCAGTTTTCTATGTCCTATAGCGTAACCAAGATGTGAGTGGCGCATTTACATCCGCCCATTTAAATTTTTGTCCATTCCTATCGAATTGTTTCTATCATGATTAGTACTAATATTTGTATAATTATCCTTTCCATTTTTCTTAAACTAAACCAACGTTCCTTGGTCGGCCGCATTTCAGAGGACAGAGGCTAGGCGACAAAGCGAAATGATGTAATAGGAATGATATTGCGTATAACGCGGACACGACTGCGTGGTTATGTCAAAACCGAAGCACTCAGTTACTTCATTGAAGCAGAGAATATATTAATTGTAAAATGTTCGCATTGCGATCGTTTTCCTCAGTCGCAATACAATACATGCATGTGTTGAAGTCAAAGTAAGCTTAGTCCCGTGGTGGTGCTGTACGTTATCGGGTGCGTACCAGGTTGAGGATTGGGGGACGTCTTTCTTGTGGGTGCAACTGCGAATAAGTCTCGCTTGCCTTGCAGGCGAGATGAATAAGCAGTCGCGGACAATTAGCTGTGTATCTCAGAGCGTGGAGAGTTCTGGGCTGGTCACCTGGTTCTCTATCAAATATCACAAGAGCTCGTACGGCGCCGTGTCAAAGTCAACGTGACCAGTTATAGGGTCATTGACTACTCACTACTGTAACCTAACGGAAGGCGGATGAATAACCTTGTTTGACACCGGCTTCTCTGTGAACTGCTACCGAACACAAAGAAGGCGAATGAGCCACCTGGCTGTCAACAGTCTTCGTGAATCACCCCGCTACCTTGCGGGTCACGTCTCTATGACCAACGGCTCAGGGTGGGGTCGCTTAAGTTAACCCTATTCCACGGCCTGGGCGACCGGGAAGATCTCGGCCCACACAAAGCATAAACCTTCCTAACCCTTCCATTGACTACCTGTTTCCCCTTTTTATTGTTAACTATGTATCGTGCACTGCCAACTGTATATCGGTCAAGTGTTGAATAATAACAATGATAAGCTTAAAGGTGACTGGTGAGTGTTGCGCAGTCAGGACCAAGCTAGCCTTACCAAGTGTGCACAACACCGAACAATTCACTTATCAGCAGCGTACCATGCATGGCCGGAAATATCAGGTTCAGGATAATTCTCTTGGTCTACCTGATAACGCATGGTCATAAGGTGCTTGATGATGGATGAGGCGGAGTGACTGCTCGTCCGTTGGTCCATAGGGACCGGCTTCAATAACTGGGAAGTGTGCAGCCATCCTTTGAGCCAGCCTATGATCAGTTCGGTCGATGTAAATGTCACCACAACTGTAACTGTGTGCAACTGGCTACAAGTGACCCCGGAATCAGATATTCCTGTACCTTCAAATTTTCTGAACAGACTGAGTATCAGACTGCACGAGTCTGATCAACTCCAGTCAATGGTGATCTACCGGTTCACCTACTCCTGTGGAGCTATGTGCATTGAACGTACGATCAGGCACATGAAAAAGCGAATCAAGGTACCCCTAATGAATTCGCTCATTAACCAAAAGGATAGAAGTAATTTGAGTACCATAACTAACCACCTGATCAGTACAGAACACGGCGTTGAAAAGCGTAATGTCTTCGAAATTCTGTACAAAGTACCATCCCACTTGAACACTCACCTATCAGCAAGGTTACTAGCTACTGCTGAAGCGGTAGGCATAAGAGTGACAAACCCAAACCTCTGCATCCAAAAGAAACTAGTCCACGCGTTGCAACTTCCTTGACCAACAGCTACAAGCAGATTTGGACCACAAACCTAACGTGCCGTCTATCACCTGATTACCCGACGTACATCATGAGAGCTGTTTGATTTGTCTAATCAATGATATGCTTCTGCACTGTCCTACGGACTTGATCTTCTTAAAGTATATTTCTGTAATAGGCATGATGACGAAATCGAAAAAAATTGTTTGATTTACGCATTCCACATGCGCTTTTCTCGGATCTGGTAACGAAAATGGGTAATATGTCTCAAGGTGCATACAATCTCAACCAGAGTTGAACTTTTTAAAATCCCCACTCGTCCATTCCCGGAGTATTGCAGCATAATTTGTGATAGTGTGAGAAAATCTGACAGAACAGCTATGGAAAGGCCATACTGGTCTTGTACCAAAACGTATTAGGCACAAATTCCACCACTACCAAGAAAGGTGCCAGCAAGTCCATCTCGATCCGCATTAGCTGCGAAAACTAAAGAATAGCTTGATACTGCTGTACAGTCTGATTCACGGCAATACCTATTGCAACCTACTCACATTAACACTGAAGCAGAGTTCCATGTGGGACGTTCGGAACAGATTTTGCCTTGGTTATCCTGCGATGCAGGCCTAAATTCATTCTAATCAGATATGCTTCTCTTTGGAATCGGCTTCCAATCACAATCAGGTCGTGTGGGAGTGAGCGATCATCTTGTACTAGGCTCAGAAGTTCGTTCAACCTAGACACGATAATGACCTTGTTTTCATGGGAAAGATCGTCTGATGATACATTTACTGAAGATAGTTGACAGATAATGGGTGAAACAGGGGAAAAGCAAGCAATGTAAGCAGTCCTCACTGTCTACAATATCCTTAAAGCGTAAGAACGCTTTCCACCTTAACGTTAAACACAAACATGTAAGATATATACCTTGCCAGAAACACAGATAAACACAAGAACAAATTAATATTGCCTGTATATATATATATATATATATATATATATATATATATATAATCTGTGCGAAATATGGACGCAGCTTCTCACTTGAGGAGAAGTATAGCTATTATTATTGCTATTATTATAGGTGATAAACGTGAGACTGAACTGCTCGATGAGCAGTTATGAAGAATAAGGCTTCGCGTGGTGGCATGCCAAAATGAGTGGGACAAGCGATGACGCAACAAAACTGAGCAGTCCCGGAGTCCGTCATTATCTATCACCGCGCACCTCATGACAACTGGTCACCATGTGAACTTGGAGACGGCGTTCCAAATGCAGCAAAAACCCACTACTGTTAGCGGTCAGTGAAGCGTTGTTAATTAGTGACCAAGAACCTATGCTATGTGCACATACAGTCTTGAGCTAAACTATTAGGTTACTTCGACTGTGACATTTTGATTGGTGTTGCTAATTGTTCCACACAAATAATTATGTACGAGTACTGCCTGTGTTGCGATTGTGACCAATGAGAACATCTAAAAACTGTCAGATTCCTCTAACTCCAGCTACGTTATGGCGTCATGTCGTCTCTACAGCATAGAAATGCCTGTACCTGGGGAAACAAATCGGAACGAAGTGGGATATCAGAAGCAGAAATGGAATCCATACCTTTAGGTACTTGCTTTGGGCGTTTCGCTGAATCGGCTCTACAAACAGGCTTCCTACGCTGGTCGTCAATTTCTGTGCCACAGGAGTCCGTATCCCCGTCAGTATCTGTAGAATTCTGTGGCGTGGCCACGAAGGGGCATCTAATAGAAGAGTCCTCCATATCGTCCATGGTGGTTAAATTCGGAGCATACGACAAATCGTGTGGCCGTGGTTGGGCGAGCGATGAATTCTTTTTATGTTCGAAGGTACTATTTATACCCGAGCGGCTCGGCTTGGCAATCCTCTGATTGGATATGTATTGAACCAATCGCCATACGGTCATAGTAACGCACAGTGTTGTGAGGCAAAAGAAGAAGAAATCCCAGGCGTTGACCGTGTACACCATAGCGTCATTCTGCAAGTCAATGGAAGCGGATGGGGATAACTTAACCAATTATGTGTTGGGTTACAAACTATTTGCTGGAGAGGAGGAATGTCAAAGAGACAAATGAATTCTGACGGAACAGTACCGGTAGTGGATGTTTTTTGTGATGATTCTTCGCAGACTCAAGCAGACAGCCAACACACGTCCAGAAAAGCGGTTTTCTAGACATGTGGCTGGTTGCCTGGGTCTGACTGCTTCGAATCATCACAGAAGCCCAATAAATCCCCCTACTACTTACAGATAGGTAGTGGGTGTCTCCACACATTCACTACAATATTACCCAACGATTGTTTCCCTCAAATCAGCGTTGTATCATTTGTACGTGGGTGAAAAATGCAAAGCAAGAGTAACATCGGTTCAGTCAGACGATTATGATCCCAGCACGGGAGAGCAGTGGTTTTGATTGGCATGGCTCACTTCACCAGCGTAACAGACACAAGTGAGATAACTGCGGTTGGAATGGGAACAACCAGCTACATGAGGCCGGATGCAGAAACGCTGTTGGATGCGGCCATGTACGTTGCACAAGGTCTCTGGAGGCAAAGATTATACAGATGCTGAAGAGCAAACCTGGGACATATTTTTTTAATCAATGGTCTAGTAAAAAGACAGAGTCAGAGTAGACGCGGCATCATCATCATAGTATATTATTTGAAGGTGAGCGACTCATTTCACCTATAGTGTTGCAATACAGAAAAATAAAACACTTTTTGTTCTTTTTCCACACGCCATTTTTTCATTCACTTGAATTCTTAGCCGCTAAGTGTCTGAATCTAAACAAGTGTGTACACTGTAACGGACAAATTAACTTGTTCAATCTATCTGGAGATTTTCCCTATAGATTGACCCCAAAGCGATCAATCATTACCCCTTGATTGCTTATTGGACTTTGCATGATAAAATATCAGTTACTTTGTTTCTCGTTCACATTTGAACTTTGTCTAACCACAAGAGTTTGCTCGTTTTGCATCGCTCAATGGTTAAGCTTACTACTTCCGCATTCCATGTGCACTGCTCCTTGGCTGATCTATTGACGATTCATCACTTCGCTTTAAAGCAGGCTGACATTAGAACCGTTTCGCTTCATTGTGCTTATCAGCTGATCATCGCTGTTAACGGCACGTTGCATTTGAGAGCCGAATTACTGTACACATTTGGTCCGGAAATTGTTTGAAGTTTATTATTTAATTGTTGTCCATTGGCAAGTAGAACCTTAGCTCTTCCGGCTTTGACTTTTGAAGTGACCCGGCTGTGCTAGGAGCTGCTCAGATTCCAAGACGGATTTGTCGAGAACAGTGTTCGACTATCGGAAGATGAGCTCTAGTCAGAGCATCCGCACTGTACATTTGCATCCCAGGGTGTACACAAGATCATAGAAGACGTACGGGTCCAACGACGGTTAGACGCGACGCCAGTGATTTCATCTGCTGTTGCCAAATGGAATGCTGATCACCAAGCGGTCACCTCCAGCCAGGACCTTGACGACCGAATAGAGCGCGACGCGGTAGACGCTCAGATGCCATGCGTAGGACATGACCGAGCCATCTTAACTGGCGCAACAAAACCAGTTTGTTGAAGGGAATACTTGCATTCCCCAAGATGCGACATCCAACTTCATTACTGTTAACTCGGTTATCACCAAACAGGAGCAATCCTCCTTAAGCAACCGTTATCAAACGCAGAAAGGAGACGCATGTCTTCCACACGAATTGGCCAGGACTCGCTCCCATACAACAACAACAAAGAACAATCAGATGCGCCGTAAACACGCCCTTTAGCGAAAATGAGACGTCACGATAACGACACAAGTGCCTCAGATTGACAAATGCGGATCGAGCTTTGGCGATGCGAAGTGAAACTACATTGCTGATGGTGCCGTCAGCAGAAACACAACTCCCAAAGTAGACGAAACCATATACCTGTTCAAGTTGTGCACCTTTGAGAGTGAGCACGGGAGCAGGTGAAAGCCAATCCTTGAGCAGTACTTTACACTTCAATGAGGCGAAGCTCATTCCATACTTAGATGCTTCAACCGCCAAACGATCCAGAATGAGTTGCATACCCTGAGGATCATCACCAAGTAAGGCGATATCATCAGCATAATCTAAGTCGGTCGCACGCTCACCCGGTAGAAGCCCTAGGCCAAAATGTTGAAAACTAGAGCATTCGACAGACCGTCTTCGATTGAGGAGTGGGGACACAGGGCAGCCCTGTCGCAAACCGCTATAGACAACGAATTACGACGAAAGCTTGCCATAGTCCCTCACTCTGCCGGATGTATGAAGGTAAAATGCTCGTAAGATGGCGGTTTATTTCTCTGGCACCCCGTTCTTTAGCAAGCAATGCCATAAAGCAAGTCGATCAACAGAGTCAAAAGCGGCCCGTATGTCTAGGAATACAACGATAGTGGGCCTGTGATAAATATGGTGATGTTCGAGGAGCTGGCGGAGCGTGAAGATTTGATCCACGCATCCGCGGCCAAGATGGAAACCTGCTTGTACTTCACGGTGGTATGATTCACGTATTAGGGATAGTCTGCGAAGCAGAATGGATGCCAACAGCTTGGATGCAACCGAAATAAGACTGCTCCCGCGATGATTTACACATGCAGTGCGAGCGCTTTTCTTGAAAATCGGGACAATAATTGATTCGCCCCAAGAGGAAGGCAACGGTCAGCTGCATGGTAGCTGGTTAACTGTACATTCAGCGGCACCCACAACATATTTCTGGTAAACCACAACAGATTGGGCACGTACTTCGTATGCCTCGTCACCGCTTACCTAGGAGGACCTTGTTTAGTCTGTCAGGTGTAAGATGGCGCAAGCCTCGAGGTGGACAGAAGTTGATTTGGCAGCGTGAAAATCAGCTACTGATGACCAAACTGGGTGCCGGTGGTACGTCTCGCCTTCCGGGCTGGAGTCCACTTGATTCGTCCTGTGCTTGGCTCGAGACTTTACAGGACATGGCCCGCAACCGACACCAGTGGCGCATCTTCTGCCGCGTCCTAGTCGGAGTACCTGTTTAAAGTTTGTTTGATGCGGAGTTATCTGCGGGGTAATGGCTGATTATGACGCGTGGCAATGAAAGCCGCAAGGTAGCTGTCTCGCCGGTGCCGTCTTATCATTGCACGATAGCCAGCAGTTTGTGACGGTACCTTGTTAACACAACGTGTAGGCGCCTTGATCCTGAATGTTTGCTGTGGGCATTAATTTTTCCAATAAGCTCCCCTTCTCTCCCTCTTCTTATTCTTTATTGCATAGGTCATCATGGTTGTATGGCAGCGAAGCACCATTTCACATGGCTGATGTACTGCTGTTGTTTATTGTTGGCCCATGACCTATCTATGGATGTGTTCTTTAGAATACTTTTCAGATTCGTTGACTGACGCAGTTGCTCAAGCGACAGCTATATTAATAACGGGACGAACTTTGTCAGGGAAATGAAGGAAGTACGGCACTGCATCCAGAGATGGGATAGATGGATTATAGATCGAAAATTGCTTGCTCGTGAAACATAATGGCATTTTAATCCACCCGCTGCTAGTCACCAAGGAGGAGTATGGGAAAGGGTAATCCGAACGGCACGAAGTATTAAATACTGTAGGTAACCAGCAACGCCCATCTGATGACTCATTTGCTACTATGTTTGTTGAAGCCTTACGAATATATATATATATATATATATATATATATATATATATATATATATATATATGGTTGGCGGCATCCGGTTTCGGATTTGCCTGTCACTGTGGCCAGCCACAGGACGCCTGCGCCTACAGAGGGACCATGGATGGCTTGCGCTGCACCACCCACAGCTCCAACCACACACCCCATATCCAGTGTAAACCCGAAGGAATAAGACCGGGAGGCATGCGGATGGGAACCACGTTTCATCAACGGAGCCGGCCCACACTCCTTCACAGGCAAACACACGCACACTGTATTTGGGAAATCAAGCGCACACAAGGCGGTGGGTGGACCGTAGTCCGCTCCACACTGACTGCATGGAACCACTCTTTGATCCTAACACGGCCACAAGGACCGTGCACCCCGTCCCCTCCAACAACGACCAACTGTCTCCTGGAGCCAGTATGGACGACGTAGTGGGTAATAGACAGGTAGGCACCTTGTCAACATGCACATCAAGCGCAGCCACACCGGGGATATCAAGCAACAACCAATCACCTGGAACGACAAGATGAAATAAAACAAATCCAAGAATGCATACAGCTACGATGGCATAACACTTTGCTAAATTAGCATATGAAGCAAGTTGGTAAGCAACGAATACGCGATAAGGAAAAAATGTCCGCAAGTTAGTTAAAAATGCTACAAACGCAACAAAGTTACCGAACATAAGCCTAAATAATGTAAACAGCGTGGCCAGTTAATAGAAGAGTATTCAGGTAGGCAGAACAAACCAAATAAAGTGGAATAAAATTCAGCCAGCTTAAAAAGACCTAGTTTAAGTTTAAGTTAATTTAGCCCAACTGCGTTGAAGAAGCATCAAGAATGCAACATCAGCCTCAGCATGGGGCACACAAGGACCGCGCACCCTGTCCCCTCCAGCAACGACCAACTGTCTCCTGGAGCCAGTATGGACGACGTAGTGGGTAATAGACAGGTAGGCACTTTGTCAACATGCACATCAAGCGCATCCACACCGGGGATATCAAACAACAGTCAAACACTTGAGAGAGAGAGAGAGAGAGAAAGAAAAAGAGAAAGGCGGTGCCTGGACCGTGGTCCGCTCCACACTGACTGCATGGAACCACTCTTTGATTCTAACACGGCCACAAGGACCGTGCACCCTGTCCCCTCCAGCAACGACCAACTGTCTCCTGGAGCCAGTATGGACGAGGTAGTGGGTAATAGAAAGGTAGGCACCTTGTCAACATGCACATCAAACGCAGCCACACCGGGGATATCAAACAACAGCCAAACACTTGAGAGAAAGAAAAAGAGAAA